GAACCTACACCGACCAGAATCCAAATGGTGAACCTACACTGATTGGAATTCAGTTGGTGAACCTAAACTGACCGGAATCCAAATGGTGAACCTACACCGACCGGAATCCAAATGGTAAACCTACACCGACCGGAATCCAAATGGTGAACCTACACCGACCGGAATCCAAATGGTAAACCTACACCGACCGGAATCCAAATTGGTGAACCTACACTGACTGAAATCCAAATGGTAAACCTACACCGACCGGAATCCAAATGGTGAACCTACACCGACCGGAATCCAAATAGTGAACCTACACCGACCGGAATCCAAATGGTGAACCTACACCGACCGGAATCCAAATGGTGAACCTACACCAACTGGAATCCAATTGATGAACATACGCCGACTGGAATCCAAATGATGAACCTACACTAACTGAAATCCAAATGGTGAACCTACACTGACCAGAATCCATATGGTGAACCTACACTGACAAGAATCCATATGGTGAACCTACACTGACCAGAATCCATATGGTGAACCTACACTGACCAGAATCCATATGGTGAACCTACACTGACCAGAATCCATATGGTGAACCTACACTGACCAGAATCCATATGGTGAACCTACACTGACAAGAATCCATATGGTGAACCTACACTGACCAGAATCCATATGGTGAACCTACACTGACCAGAATCCATATGGTGAACCTACACTGACCAGAATCCATATGGTGAACCTACACTGACCAGAATCCACATGGTGAACTTACACTGACTGGAATCCAAATGGTGAACCTACACTGACCGGATTCCAGTTGGTGAACATACACTGACCGGAATCCATATGGTGAACTTACACTGAACAGACAGACCTTCTACTATCGAAAGTTCATGAATGTAGGCTTATTAGAAATGCCTCAGTCTCTTTCTACAGAGAAGTCATGGACAGCGTGTGGTATCCGTGACCCTACATAAGCTGAATCTTCCACTCAGTATCCCAAGTATGACGACTAGCCCACAGTATTAATGCCAATATATCTCCTCCACCATTTCCGCATGTCCCAGCATGCTCAGAGAGAAGACAGGAAACAGATGTTCCACATAGTGAGAAATCCTATTTAGAATATTTATTAAAAGCTAAAATGCACTTACATAAAAAAAAACCCCAAAGCATTGCGAAATTTGAATGAAAATTCTTAGAAAAGATTTTTGAAAGAAAATTATTTCAGAATTCAACACATGCATTTCTGCTTTAAGCAGGCCATCCATGTTTCAAATTCCAAATGAATTTTCTTTAGAGAGAATCCAAAATTTTGTGCATTTTGTAACCCGATGGCGCCACCATTGATTTTGAAATTCGGCCAACCAAGCCTTCAATTTCACCTCATGTTCCTACAGAAAAGAATTTTCATGGCCAAGAATTTTCTTTTCTTTCCAGGTCACCGCTCATTTCTTTTTTGTTTATTTCCCGCACCATTCTCCCATCATTGATTCAAAATTTGTTCATTTTTCAAAACATTTCCAACCTGCCCGATTGCTCAAATTCGATGGTCGCACAAAAATCAGCCGTTTTTGTGACCCAATAATGGTGCAAAATTTGAACAAAAAAATCTTAGAAAAGATTTTCAAAAGAAAATTATTTCGGAATTCGACCCGTGCACGGTCGGCTTTAGGAACACTTGTTCTGATGAAAATATTCCTCCTTTGCTACCTGTTGTGTGTTCAGGACAGGAAGTAAAGGAACATTTCACATAGATACAAATGGCCCAAAAAAAAAAAAACTGACGGTGGGGGTTTTAATGCTTTCAAAATTAAAAAAAAAAAAAAAAGTTTAGGCTTTACTTATAGTTGAATCAAAATGGTTGTAAAGGCTAATTTTTTTCAAATTAAAAATAAAAACAGGTTGTTTATACATCCCTGCTTTGTGTAAAGATATCGCACAGAGCGGTCCCTTACCTCCTCTTTGGCGGTTCCCCCGCTGGCCCTGTCCACTCCCCCTCTCCAGAGGGCCCCAATAGCAAGCCATAAAATGTATTTCTTTAACCTCCTATTAATCTTAATTTAATAAGTATATGGAAAGGAGCCAAGTCCATTGAAAGGGTGGAGATCCCATAGTGGAAATGTAGCAATAAGGCGTATGCAGGTATGAGGGCTGAAGTGCTTGCGGAAAGGAGCTAAGCGCCATTCTCTGGGAAGCCCATAACAAAGGCCTGAAAGGCTGCAAAATTAGTGATGCTATAAAAAAAAAAAATGTAAACCTATATTTTTTTTTTTCAATAAAAGTCTTTCATCCATAATGTCTGATTAACCCCTTGTTTAGATCTTACTGACACCAATGTACTAATTTCTCTCTCCTCATTTTTCTTTCTCTGTGAAATGTTTTGATTTTTTATAATTTATCTCTAAAGAAAATGTTAATTTGTTGCATTATTTTGTAAAAAAAAAAAATCAGCAAAATGAAAACAAAATCCATCAATTGATGGAAAGGAACTAAGCACCATTTTCTAGGAAGCCTATAACTTTTAAGAAAATTGTTACTGGTGTTTTCATTTGTTCATTTGTTGCATTATTTTGTAAAAATTAAATAAAAAAAAAAAATCCATCAATTGATGGAAAGGAACTAAGCACCATTTATGGGAAGCCCAAGACAAAAGCCTGAAAGGCTCCAAAATTAGTGAAGCTTTGAAAAAAAATAATAAACCTATTTTTTTTTTCTACTTTAAATAAAAGTCTTTCATACATAACGTCTGATTAACCCCTTGCTTATATCTTACTGACACCAATGTACTCATTTCTCTCTCCTAAGTTTTCTGTTTTTGTGAAATGTTTTGTTTTATTATAATAATGATAATAATAATAATACATTACTTGTGTTTTCATTTGTTCATTTGTAACATTATTTTGTAAATAAATAAAATCAGCAAAATGTAAAAAAAAATAAAATCAGCAAAATGTAAAAAAAAAAGAAATCCATCAAGTGATGGAAAGAAGCTAAGCACGATTTTTGGGAAGTCCATAACAAAGGCCTAAAAGGCTTCAAAATTAGTGAAGCTTTGAAAAAAAAAAAAAAATAGACCTAATTGATTTTTTTTTTTTACTTTAACCTCTTGCCGACCGCGCATAGCCGAATGACGGCTTCACCGCGGCCGGCCAGTTCTGGGTGGACGTCATATGACGTCCTCCCAGAACGCGCTCTCCTGGGGCGCGCACCCGGCGACCTCCGTGATCGCTGTGTCCTACGGACACAGCTGATCACGAGATGTGGTAAAAGGCCAATCACAGCGGCCTTTTACCACGTGATCAGCGGTGTCCAATGACACGCTGATCACAGGGAAATGCAAGTGCCGGTTCTCGGCTGCACTTTCCTCACGCTGTCAGATCATGAGGAAAGTACTGCCGAGAACCGGCAGTTGTCAGAGCGGGGATCGGCACCGATCATCAGGGCACTGATGATCAGTGCCCTGATGATCGGTGCCCAGCAGTGACACCCGCAAGTTCCGCCCAGCAGTGCGCCCACTAGCTCCGCCCACCCGTGCCCAGCATTGCACCCACCTGTGCCACTCTGCAGTGCCACCTACCTGTGCCCAGAAGTGCCACCTACATGTGCCCAGCAGTGCCACCCACCTGTGCCCACCCACCTGTGCCCACCAGTGCCACCCACCTGTGCCCACCAGTGCCACCCACCTGTGCCCACCCACCAGTGCTGCCCACCAGTGCCACCCACCAGTGCAGCCCAGCAGTGCTGCCAGTCAGTGCCACCAGTCAGTGCCCAGGGGTTGTGCCAGTCAGTGCCGCCAGTCAGTGCCCAGCAGTGATGCCAGTCAGTGCCGTCTATCAGTACCCATAATCAGTGTCACCTATCAGTGCCGCCTATCAGTGCTGCATATCAGTGCCGCCTATCCGTGACACCTCATTAGTGCTGTCTGTCAGTGCCGCCTATCCGTGCCACCTCATTAGTACTGCCTATCAGTGCCCTTTAGTGCTGCCTATCAGTGCCCATCAGTGCCGCCTATCAGTGCCCATCAGTGCTGCCTCATCAACAGTGAAGGAGAAAAAATACCTGTTTGAAAAATTTTCTAAAAAGAAACAAATAAACTTTTTTTTTTTATCAAATTTTTTTGCACTTTTTTTATTTATAGCGCAAAAAGTAAAGCGCCCAATGGCGATTAAATACCACCAAAAGAAATCTCTATTTGTGAGAAAAAAATTATCAAAATTTCATATGGGTACAATGTTGCATGACCGCGCAATTGTCAATCAAAGTGCGGCAGCGCTGAAAGCTGAAAATTGGCCTGGTAAGGAAGGGGGTAGAAGTGCCCGGTAGGCAGGAAGGGGGTAGAAGTGCCCGGTAGGCAGGAAGGGGGTATAAGTGCCCTGTAGGCGAGGGGTTAAATAAAAGTCTTTCATACATAACGTCTGATTAACTCCTCTTACATCTTAATGACACCAATGTACTCATTTATCTCTCCTAATTTTTCTTTTTCTTTTTTAGAATTGATCTTTTAAGTAAATGTTACTCGTGTTTTCATTTGTAGCATTATTTTGTAAAAAAAAAAAAAAAAAAAATCAGCAAAATTTTTTAAAAATCCATCAATGGATGGAAAGGAACTAAGCACCATTTTCTGTGACGCCCATAACTTTTTAAGAAAATGTGACTTCTGTTTTCATTTGTTCATTTGTAACATTATTTTGTAAAAAAAAAAAAAAAAATCAGCAACATTTAAAAAAACAAATCCATCAATTGATTTGTAAATTGTGCCAAAGCTTAATGCTGTGTTGTGGGAAAAAAAAGGGATATCAAAGAATTAAATTACGAATGTATACTAAAGGTACCACCAACTGAATTTGCAAAAAAAAACAAAACTGTAATGACAGGAAGGGGATGAGAAGATCGATGTGCGATTCCCGCACAATTAGTTGTGATCGTCAGCTGATCAAACGACTTTCAGTTGGATGTGACAGGCTCCTCCTTGTTCTCCTCTCTAGAATGTGGCGTGTCAGTTCCCCGAGGATGTGGTCCTACCAGAGCCGAGTATGAACGCCGCGTGGCGGAAGCTGCAGGTAGGAAGCCCGGGTCGGATGGCTCGGATCCTTTGTATAACACGTGTGTAACATTCCTATCATTGTCACATGATCCAGGTTTGCTGCTTAAAGGGGATGTCTAGTATTTTGTGTGTCTTTTACTGTATATCAATGATTTTATTATCTCGGTATACAGTATATCCAATCTTAAAAGTCAATATTTCATCTTTTTTGTCAGCAGCTGTGAAGCTCTAGTGTACTTTTCATAGGTTTACCGGGCTAAGCTTAGCTGCTTCACTGACGAAAGCCTGTTGTTTGTGGAGTTTAGTGACTGAAACTCAGATTAGACACAGAGCTGACAGAGCGACGCTCCTGCGGAGAGGTACATTACTGCAGGGAGATCTCCTCATTGTGGGAGGGGCAGAGACACAAACTACTGCAGGGAAATATTCCCATTGTGGGAGGGGCAGAGACACAAACTACTGCAGGGAAATCTCTCCATTGTGGGAGGGGCAGAGACACAAACTACTGCAGGGAAATATCCCCATTGTGGGAGGGGCAGAGACACAAACTACTGCAGGGAAATATTCCCATTGTGGGAGGGGCAGAGACACAAACTACTGCCGGGAAATCTCCCCATTGTGGGAGGAGCAGAGACACAAACTAATGCAAGGAAATCTCCCCATTGTGGGAGGAGCAGAGACACAAACTAATGCAAGGAAATCTCCCCATTGTGGAGGGGCAGAGACACAAACTACTGCTGGGAAATCTCCCCATTGTAGGAGGGACAGAGACACAAACTACTGCAGGGAGATCTCCCCATTGTGGGAGGAGCAGAGACACAAACTACTGCAGGAAGGTCTCCCCATTGTGGGAGGGGCAGAGACACAAACTCCTGCAGGAAATCTCCCTATTGTGGGAGGGGCAGAGACACAAACTCCTGCAGGAAATCTCCCTATTGTGGGAGGGGCAGAGACACAAACTACTGCTGGGAAATCTCCCCATTGTGGGAGGGGCAGAGACACAAACTACTGCAGGGAAATATCCCCATTGTGGGAGGGGCAGAGACACAAACTACTGCAGGGAATCTCCCCATTGTGGGAGGGGCAGAGACACAAACTACTGCAGGGAATCTCCCCATTGTGGGAGGGGGCAGAGACACAAACTACAGCAGGGAATCTCCCCATTGTGGGAGGGGCAGAGACACAAACTACTGCAGGGAATCTCCCCATTGTGGGAGGGGCAGAGACACAAACTACTGCAGGGAATCTCCCCATTGTGGGAGGGGCAGAATCACAAACTACAGCAGGGAATCTCCCCATTGTGCCTTACTAAATCTGAATCCCCTAATAGGGAGTATTTGACTTTTATCCTAAAACATATTTCCATTGATGACTTAGACTTTAGTAGAGTAATAATTGTACAATAAGTAATACAGAAATGACTCCCGAATCCCCCACACCGGGCAGGCAGGACTGCTGTCTGGAAGAATCACACATGTTAGGACATCGACCTCGTACGTTGCTTGGTGTTATGAGGTCGATCAGCACTTCCTTCGATGACAACCACGCGGTGACAGGAAGGCATCTGACGTAACCACTTCAAAGTCAATCGAATCATCACCAACAGCTGGAAGTTTGAACTTCCAAGAAAACAGAACCCAGTGACCTCGCAACTCATTTGGGTGCTTATTGAAGCCACCGCCAGTGTATCCCAGGAAAAGTGTATTAGGGCTTGTAGATTTCTCTTTTCTCCTCTGATATATGTGAACTGACCAGATTTTATACCTGTAGATGTCTCAGCAGAGGGATGAAGTTCTGGAAGGACTTTCCTTACTTCTCAGCGCTGCCCCGAAGATTACAAAGTTCATCTCGGAATGTCAGTTGGAGCTCCCGCTACAGAAGTATTCCAGCAAAGTGCGGACCATGAAGAACATCCTGGACAGAGCCGTCGTGAAGGTCAGAAATGTTTCGTAACCGTAGACTAGATCTGGTACCCATTTTCATCCTTCTGCTGGTGGACTGATGACAAAAACAAAGTTACATAGGTTAGAAAACACATTCATGGAGATAAACAAAACCCCCTTTTGCGTCCATAGAACCATAAACCTGCTGATCTGTAGAATGGCATAAAGTGTTAGAAATATGGACCAGCAAGTAGATCCTTCATGATCCTCCAAAGTGATCGGAGGACTTCCATTGGCTGGGAACACCCCATTTGGACTCCTGTTCCTCTGTTTGATCCTCCCCAACCTATTTATTTCATGTACACCATTTTTTTTTTAACCAGCTGTGGATATTGGACATGCTACACCACACACCCCAAAACGTAATCAAAGAAAATGGGGCATGTGTAGCACGTCTTGTCCTTCTGCCTCATGACCACTCCCTCCTCTCACTTGCCAGCAATTCCTGTCAAAATGAAAGCTGGGAGTTGCTATGCTAAAAACAGCCATTCTCACACAGTGTTTATAAACATTGTTGAGGTGCAAGATCAAGAGATACCTAGTAACATTGTTTATGAACATTGATCAGGTGGGGATAGAGAGATACAAAGTAACATTGTTTATGAACATTGATCAGATGGGAGATAGAGAGATACAAAGTAACATTGTTTATAAACCTCGATCAGACGGGAGATAGAGAGATACAAAGTAACATTGTTTATAAACATCGATCAGATGGGAGATAGAGAGATACAAAGTAACATTGTTTATAAACCTCGATCAGATGAGAGATAGAGAAATACAAAGTAACATTGATTATAAATATTGTTGAGGCGCAAGAGATCAAGAGGTACAAAGTAACATTGTTTATAAACATTGATCAGATGGGTGATAGAGAGATACAAAGTAACATTGTTTATAAACATCGATCATGCGGGAGATGGAGAGATACAAAGTAACATTGTTTATAGACATCGATCAGATGGGAGATAGAGATACAAATTAACATTGTTTATTAACATTGATCAGACGAGAGATAGAGAAATACAAAGTAACATTGTTTATAAACATTGTTGAGGTGCAAGAACAAGAGATACAAAGAAAATGTTTATAATCAATGATCAGATGGGAGATAGAGATAAAAAGTAATATTGTTTATAAACATCGCTCAGACGGAAGATAGAGAGATACAAAGTAGCATAGTTACCTAGAGTTGGGACCTTCGCTCAACAGAGACACAAACAGCAATAGTTATTATTATTATTATACTAAAGGATTTATTTGGCACCAACAGTTTGCTCAGCGCTTTACAATATAACGGGAGACAATACAGCAACAATACAGTTCAATACAAGAGGGATAGGAGGGCCCTGATCCTTGGAGCTTCATCAGAGTGGTTCACTGTTGCCATAGTGACACTGCATTACACAGGGGGGAATCGGGGGGGAATCATGGATTTTTATAGCTTATAAAAGTGAAATTCACTCATAAAAGTTTTAGCTGTCATGAGTGGTTTAACATTTATGACAGCTTAGTTACTGTGGGCATGCTGTGATTGGCTACAGTTGATAGGATGGTACAGGTAGCCAGGTACCATGTGATAGCTGTCAGCCAATCACAGCTTCACAACACTAAGTTAAATCTACTGAATGCAAACCATTCATGACTATTTTGTTTGCATTGTGACCATGTGATCGCTATGACCAATCAGAATGATCACATAATACCCGGTTACTGGTAACAGTAATCCACTGGTCACAGTAGTGAGGTGCTGCCCCTAGTCCAGCACAGGCTGGGTGACGTAGCTGTGACCGCCCGCCTGCAGTATATGTGCTGTGGGTACGACATTGACATATTTTAGTTAAGGAAATATCAGATGTTACACTTTAATATTCTCCATTTACCACACTCAGCCAAGGGTTTGGTGACTGCAAATCTTCTTCAGCCTATTAATCTTTGTACTTTATAGTTACATCGTTTTATACTTTGTTGCATAAAGTGAACATCATACAATAATGAATTTCCTAATCATGGATAATAGATGATTTTCTTACAATAAATGGTAGGAGCAGAATTAAATCCTAAATGATAATACAGAAACATAGAGGGGGGGGGGGGGGGGGGGAGTCAGAATTTAGTTCACTGTTATCTATGGGCCCCTATAGGGTGCATACTATGAACAATAGGTCACTATTATCAGATTTCCTGGTGAGATGTGCAGAGTCACTCTAAGCCTGGTTTGCCATACATGAGGTCCCATCCTGTCTTCTATCCCTTTGTAACATATTTTAGGAATTGTGTCCAGAGCAGAACTTCCCTTTCTCCCCTGATAATAGCAGAGTATTATCTGTGTCACAGTATACAGGGGTCACACTTCTTTCTTCTGTTGTATACAGTGAACTACGATTATTTGGTATACAACTCCCATTTGGTATACAAATTGAAGCAAGCCATACCTGTAAGAGAGGACATTAAATACTCACCTTTGTCACTGCACGCCCTGAAAATAGCAGAAGTTTTTTCTTTGCAAGTCAAAAGTTGGGGATTGCTAATCTCAGAGTGGCAGCAGGTGTCAGGCTGTGGACTGCAGAATGCCTTTGTACCTGACAGTTTGATGTAAGGACTATCAGGTCTCCTGCCCGATGATGCCAGTAGGGTCCTGGCAATGATATCACCACAATATGTAGAGCAGAATATGGAGCCTGCAAGGTAAGTACTACTGACCACCAATGATGGGGTCACATTCCTTCCACTGGCCACCAGTTATGGCGCTGAATTCCTTCCACTGACCACCAGTTATGGGGCTGAATTCCTTCCACTGACCACCAGTTATGGGGCTGAATTCCTTCCACTGACCACCAGTGATGGGGCTACATTATTCTCGTTGACCACCATTGATGGGGCTACATTCCTTCCACAACCACCAATGACTGGGCTAGATTCTAATTACTTGCCACCATTGATGGGGCTACATTCCTTCCACTGAACACCAATGATGGGGCTATATTCCCTCCACTGGCCACCAATGATGAGGCTCCATTTCTTACTGTGATAACTAGTGATGGGGCTACATTGCTCTTGTTGATCACCATTGATGGGGCTACATTCCTTCCACTGAACACCATTGATGGGGCTACATTCCTTCCACTGAACACCATTGATGGGGCTACATTCCTTCCACTGAACACCAATGATGGGGCTGCATTCTTCTCATTGACCATCAGTGATGAGGTTACATTCCTTCCACTGACTGCTAATAATGGGGCTACATTCCTCTCATTGACCCCCAATGATGGGGCTACCTTTCTTTTACTGACCATCAGTGATTAGGTTATATTCCATCCACTTGCCACCAATGTTCCTTCCACTGACTACCATTGATGGGGCTACATTCCTTCCACTGACCACCAGTGGTGGGGCTACATTCCTTCCACTGACCACCATTGATGAGGCTATATTCCTTCCACTGAACACCAATGATGGGGCTACATTCTTCTCATTGACCATCATTGATGAGGTTACATTCCTTCCACTGACTGCCAATAATGGGGCTATATTCCTCTTGTTGACCACCAGTGATGGGGCTACCTTTCTTTTACAGACCATCAGTGATTAGGTTAGATTCCATCCACTTGCCACCAATGATAGGGCTACATTCCTTCCACTGACCACCAATGACAGGGCTACATTCCTTACATTAACTACCAATGATTGGGCTTGATTCTGTCCCCTTGCCACCAATGATGGGTCTGCATTCTTTTCACTGATCACCAATAATGGGGCTTTACTACCAATGATGGGGCTATATTTCTCCCATGGGCCACAAATGATGGAGTTGCATTTACATCTGTAACCACCAATGATGGGGATATTTTCATACCTCTGACCACCAATAATGGGGCTTCATTCCTGCTATCTACCACTGAAGCCATAGCATGTATTACTCCTAATGGCCACTTGCCCTTGGACTTTTTTATTCCCATTAATCACTTGGTATCAATGTATTTTTTACTCCCATTGACCACCTATGCCAGGGCATTATTTTTAATACACAGACCACAGTCTCGTCCACCAACAGTCTGAGAAACAGTGAACTGGCCCTTTATTTAGAAAGTGTGGGGACCCTGGTTTCAACTATTCTTGTTCTTAGTCTTAGAAGCAACTCAGAAGAAAATAAAAAAAAATACTTAGAAATTAAAACCAGGATACTAGCGTTTTAGGAGATCATCAGTGGCATATATGTCTTTCATGACACGTTTTAGGGGAACGCTTCCTAATGAGGATACGGCAATAAAAACCAGGCAAGGGTTCCAGCCCTCCTCTTTTTCAGGTATAGACTGACTACTTTAAAAGAGATGATTAGACTTGGTTTTGATTGAGAAATAATACACAATTTTTTTTTGTTAATTTCCATTAGGCCGAAACAATATATCCGGATAGAGAACCAAAGACTTTTGCCGCAAGGACTTTAAAACAATTCTACAGTGTTTACAAGAACTTTTTACAAGGAAAATATAGGACTGTTGTTATTTCCATTTGCAGTAGTGTTAAGCTCAGATGATGGGCTACATGGACAAACATCATTTCTCACCATTACTCCACTCCACCCCGCCAGGACAAGGACTCGATGGACATGACTTGTGTTTTTTTTTAATGTTTGATTATTCACAGCTGAAAACAAGGTGACAGAGGTATGAAGATAGTTTATATTTGATATTAAGTTAAGAACGAAAATATTTCTATATATTTATCTTTTCTGGGTCAAATAAATATATTTTTCTCGTGCCTCTGTGGTGTATTTCAAAGACAAAATGCAAATATGGTAAATGCTGGGAGACTGGTGGGTTCGTTTTTTCCAAGTGTAGATCCTAAATTTCTTGTAAATGTCTCCAACTTCATAATGTGCTAGGGGAAAATCTAGAAATGTTATTTGTCCCTAAGCCGTACCCATGAGACTCCACCTTTTGCCTTTAATTCTTCCTGAAAAACAGCAGTGCACTTCCTGTGCCTAGGCTCCCCTTTTCTGTAGACTCATAGTTGTATATCTGTAGTGTGAGATCATCTAAGGCAGGGATGTCAAACTGGTGGCCCTCCAGCTGTTGCCAAACTACCAGTCCCATCATGTCTCTACCTTTGGGAGTCATGCTTGTAACTGTCATTCTTGCAATGCCCTCATGGGACTGGTAGTTTGGCAACAGCTGGAGGGCCACCAGTTTGACACCTGTGATCTAAGGCAATGCTGCTTCTCTTAGGAGATTTGGTGATGCCATTACTGTACTGCTGACTGTTCTCCTTGCTGGAGAGAAACCTGTATCTTAAGACCTGCAATGTAAGGCTCCCTCTGCTTCTGTTTCATTCATTCTATAGATCTGTACTTCCTCCAACCTCTTTTACTGTTTTTTCATCATTTCCCCATCAGTTATCAATTCACCAGTCATCAGCTCCCCAGTCATCAGGAGGGTAGCTCTGACTTGAGGAAGCAAAACCCTGTCTTTACCAAGATGGCCACCTCTAAACAGAGACACACTTCAGAATAAAACATGCTTCCCTCAACCTCTCCTGCTGTTTCAACATCATTACCCCACCAGTCATCAGATCCCCATTCATCAGGTGGGTAGCTCTGTAATGAGGAAGCAAAGCCCTGCTTTTACCATGGCCACTTCTAAGCAGAGACACACTGCAAAACAAATGATAAGTTGGTAATGGGGAAAATATAAGCTGCAGGGAGACCGCATGCACTACTAATAAATAGTCTGTCATCGGTTTTCCTTTTTTGACCACAGCATCCACAATATAGGTCTTCTTTCCATTTACGACCACCTGACACATATGTGTGTCGGCAAAAGGATGGGCTTTAATGCTCACATGCTGCACATACAGTTGTGACCAAAATTATTCAACCCCCAATGCTGTAAAGGGGTTTAGGGACTATAGTGTACATTTGGAATTGTATTCAGAATCAAATCCTACAAGGACGTTGTAACTACCCAAATGCAACTAAAATGACATCAATTGTTTATGTAATACAGTAGTAAATGGTTCTTATGTGGTTTCTTCATTGCCACAATTATTCAACCCCTTAAAGACTACCACTCTGAAGAACAGAGGTTCATACAGGTGCTTTCCATCAGGTATTGAAAACACCTGTGGATGTCACCGAGCAGCAATCAAGCATAATAAGCACCAATTAGGCAGCTTTAAAATGACTGTGATACTCAGCTCCTTCTAGACATTTACTGGTGTGGTTACAAACATGGTGAAGGCAAGAGAATGGTCCAGGAAGACAAGAGAAGAGGTGATTTCTCTTCACAGGAAGGGCAATGGCTATAAGAAGATTGCAAAGATGTTAAACATACCAAGAGACACCTTAGGAAGCATCATTCGCAAATTCAAGGCAAAGGGCACTGTTGAAACGCTACCTGGTCGTGGCAGAAAGAAGATGCTGACTTCGACTGCTGTGCGCTACCTGAAGCGTAGAGTGGAGAGAAGTCCCCGTGTGACTGCTGAGGAACTGAGAAAAGATTTGTCAGATGTGGGTACAGAAGTTTCAGCCCAGACAATAAGACGCACACTGCGTAATGAAGGCCTCCGTGCCAGAACTCCCAGGCGTACCCCCTTGCTGTCTCCAAAGAATAAGAAGAGTCGACTGCAGTATGCCAAAAGCCATGTGGACAAACCACAAAAGTTGTGGGATAGTGTTCTGTGGACTGATGAAACAAAATTAGAACTGTTTGGGCCCATGGATCAACGCTATGTTTGGAGGAGGAAGAACAAGGCCTATGATGAAAAGAACACCTTGCCTACTGTGAAGCATGGTGGAGGGTCAATCATGCTTTGGGGCTGTTTTGCTTCTGCAGGTACAGGGAAGCTTCAGCGTGTGCAAGGTACCATGAATTCTCTTCAGTACCAGGAGATATTGGATGGAAACGTGATGCAGTCCGTCACACACCTGAGGCTTGGGAGACGTTGGACCTTTCAACAGGACAATGATCCCAAGCATACCTCCAAGTCCACTAGAGCATGGTTGCAGAGGAAAGGCTGGAACATTTTGGAGTGGCCATCGCAGTCACCAGACTTAAATCCGATTGAGAACCTCTGGTGGGACTTAAAGAAAGCAGTTGCAGTGCGCAAGCCTAAGAATGTGACTGAACTGGAGGCCTTTGCCCATGAAGAATGGGCGAAGATACCCGTAGATCGCTGCAAGACACTTGTGTCAAGCTATGCTTCACGTTTAAAAGCTGTTATAACTGTAAAAGGATGCTGTACTAAGTACTAAGATTGAATGTCACTTGGGGGGTTGAATAAAACTGATAATGCTGTGAGCACAGAAAAGACATTTGTGGTTATTTCATTATAACTGTTATGTTATATTTGTCTGACCTACAAGTGCCTCTTTAATGTAAATGTAAGCAAGATGACTGAATGATCAAAAGCAATGTCAAACTGGCCAAAACACTCAATTTCAGTGGGGGTTGAATAATTTTGGTCACAACTGTATGCGTTGCTGGGTGGCTCACTGCACGCTGTCACCGCAGACCAAGGTGTCACAGACAGCTCTCGGTCCGGGCTACAGATTGCTAGCCAGTGGGACAGCTTCTGATCATGTGACTACTGTTATAGCCAATCACAGTGGTCACATGAACACCAGTCCTTCCCCTCCCCGGATATTCCGAATTGTTTAAAGGAGTAGACTAGACTGAGTAACGAATAGCAGCCAGCAAACAGAATTTTTGCTAACCCCTCCATGCTTCTCCAGTCTAGTGTTGAAGCTCATTAAAATCCCAGTATCACTAGATATGGGGAGGAACATGTGACATGTCACTCTGAGCTCCAGTCCAGTGACTTTGCCTAGGCTGAGTTGATGTCATCTGTCTGCTGCAGTCAGGGGTAAGCATTTCCTCAGTCTCCCCTTCCCCTGCAATCAGATGATAGAATGTAAGTTTGTAGCAAGTCACAAGGTGAGAGCCTGCAGTGAAAAGCCTTCCAAGAAGTGTGGAAGCTGTTATAGCCACGAGGGCAATTCCATAATAATTTCCATGGTTTCAGATGTCCAACGAGCTCCTAGAAGTGTGATGGTCATGTGCCTACAAACCCATGATCATATAGTATATATCAGTCAGTAGGTCCACTTCACTTTGACCTATTTAACACTCACCAAATCCTAATACTCAACCTAACCACCAAAGGGAGTTTTACCCCCCAACCTAATCCCCAACACAAATAATTACCCAAACCCATCCCCCCTGCTGAAAAGTAAAATGGTCCATCTAACAAAACATATACACCCATAGGAAGAAACAGTTAATGAAAAGTGATTGAAGGCCTCCTGTGCGGTTTAGCCCTGACTCATTCATCTTGTTTACAACACTTCCAGTTTAAAGTAAAAACAAGGAAATACAAAAAATGGATGACGTCTCAAAACAAAAGGCCCAGCAGATCCCTGGCTCCTAAGAAGCCAAGCGAGATGACGCCAAGTGTTTGCCGAGGAACTTCCTATTTTGCCAGCTAGTTTTTTCCTGCCTTCGAGACGACCCCCTGTCTCCTCTTTCCATGGTGCCACTTCCCAGCAGATGGACAGGAACAGTTACATAAGAGCCAGGAGCGGAAAAACCAGCCGCCTGGATGGCCTTGCAACCTGAAGCAAAATGAAATATTTAACATTTTAATTTTGTTAAAGCAACACATGTAAATGTGATCGACTTAAAGTGGACCTGAATTATTTAACTAAAGCCTTATATTTTCCATTTATAACCCAACGCGGGCTCTGTAGCATGGCACATGGAGGCTAAATAACATCCAATGGTCCCAATCAGGGATTGTACCCAATTTCTCATTATGTCTCTAGAACTGAAGGTGAGGAAAAATCTCCCTTTCTAACAAGAATGAAAATTCCCCTTTAATGCTACCATCAAAACCCTTGAAAAAAAGTCTAGTGGTCCAAAGCTTGACCACTTAGGTTGCAATCTGATTGTACACTTATAGCAACAAAACCCGAGGGCCTACCCTACAAAATGCATTTTGATTTGTATCCAGATCAAGCGGGCCTTGGCACTACAAAATGGATGGTGGATCCAAAGGAGATGTTACAATTAGATTGTGACGTGTGAATTTACCTTTATGCTAAAACAGAATGATAACCCCTCTTCTGCCCAATCTACTTTCCCAATATTGTGCATCTAAGCTCACTTTGGGGTTGATTTGCTAAATGTTTTGCCACCTTTTTCTTTTTGCTGCACAAAGCTTCCGCACAATAAGCAGAACTGAGAGAGTCTTGGCGGGGTTTCTTCTTCAAATCCTGCAGTCCTCTGAGAGTGATAGGAAGCAAAATATGGGAGCAGAAGGATGTGGAATCCAGGGAATCAAGGCTTATAGAGTCCTTCCTTACATCAAGGTCCCCATCAGAGTCCCCGTTACATTAGGATCCCCATCAAAGTCTCCCCTTACATCAGAAGCAGGGACCATAGGCAGTTTCCACTGACCTTAATCCTCGATCTGTGCACATTGGGGAAAACCACTGGTGCTGGATAAAAACTTGTAGCAGGGGTGGCCTAGGCCATTGTT